CAAACCAACAGGGTGAATGCGTTACCATTCTCCGTGGACGTACCAGACATTTTCAATCTTTGCTAAACTACAAAGAATTAATGCAAAACACACCTATCATTTCTGAGCAAAATGCTGGATACATTGTTGCGTTTATTCAAAGAGTTTATAGGGATTCTAATGGGTATTTTTATTTTTTTGCGATTAAATTAACTGCAGAATAGATCCCCTATAGATGGTCCCTGCAGATCTCCACACGTCCTCCTGTTTGGCTGAGTTCTTCCTCCTGCTCTCGCCTTCAGTATCTCCTGGCTGGAATTCGCCCTTTATCTCCCTTCCACTCGCCCATAACTCCTCAAGGCCACTTTCGATCTGCTTCTCTATCATCTTTCCTTGTATTTTCTTATTGCTCTTTCCTCGCTCCACTCTTTTAGCCCCTCCCACCCATCTGTTATCTCCCAGCTGGATCCGTTTTACGCTGCACTGCAGTAGGCCCGAGTCAGGATCCAGGCTGGATGAGTCACCCACTCACAATCTGCTGCCCTAAAGCCGCGCAGGCATCGGTCACATCCAACGACCCCCTCGCTGTCCACAAGGGGGAAAGGCGCGCGTACAACCGTGCACACCCGCGACGCACACGCCTGCACGTGATGTTTTTATGAAGAAAAGCAAAGCCGGAAAACGCCTCCATCTGCGCTCGCACGCGTGAAGAATTCTCTTCAAGTGGGCAGAGAAATTCCGTAACTTTTTGCCTTTTAAGCAAGAAAGGAAAACTGTTTCAAATTGCAAAATCATAATGCTGCGCACAATACAAGGAGAGTAGGCTCATCGGCATTCTGCACACACACTGGGAAACCTCTAGTCGAACAAGGGATGACTACAAAATAAAGGATTACCGCTCCGTCGCCTACTGTAAGAAATACACACCATCCAAATGAGAGAAATGAGCCATTTCTTAAATCCCAAAAGGAGCCAGACAGATGTGTTATGCACCTAAGCTGCAGTAGCTCGACTGATTATTCTGTTGACAAACAGAGCACAGGTTACATAACCCTTCATGCCGTTTCTACAGCAATGGTGTCTGGTGCAGGTTTGTCGACTTTTCTTAAACAAAAACGGGCACATTGCTACCTGGAGTTCACCGTGGGAAGTGTCTTTCCAGCCTGCAGACCTTTATTTCTGACATTTCTATGTGTATTTGAATTTTTTGAAATTTGAAATAAAGAAGCATCTAAATTATGGAAAGAATAAGGCTCAATGGATTTAAAGATGACACGCACGTGTCTCGATGGTGTCTTTCTGACATCGACGGGAAGCAAAGCAACCATTTTGTACAGAATCGCTGCAAGACCGACCCTCCGTAGAGTCTTCCATTTGATTCACTCATCCTTGGCACGCTTCCTCTAGCTTTTTCTTTTGTTATCCTCTCTATCCTCTCATCCACCATCTCTCTCGTGCAGTTTCTGTTTCATGAACATATTTTTGTCTTCCTGCTGGCAGCGCACACTCCCTCCACAGAGATGAAGCGCTCTCTCTCTCTGCTGCATTAAGGCCGATATAAAAATCCCTAACTCTGCAGTGGTAACATCCATCAACACTAATCAGGTTGAAAGGATTTTTCAACCCGAAGTTTGGTTGAAATGTAAAAAAAACAGGCAGTTTACGCTCTTTCTCCATTGGTTGAGGAAATAACAGCCCTGAAAAGGAAGCCCCTCTTCACATTAGCGCATTCATATGTGACCTTCTGCATGGGAACAGTGCCATCATGGAAGAAGCTTCTCCTCAAAGCATGACTCATTTGTGACGTAGAAAACCGGCAACATCCATCTTTAGGAAAATGTGGCAGATTGCGTCTTAGCATGAAGTAATGAGGAAGAGAGGACGCAGTGTCATTTTCTTTGTAGCAGGCGGATGTTACAAAGAGATATTCTTATGGTATTAAAATGCATTCCAGTGTATGAAGAAGTAAATATAAAACAGTCCGTCTGAACATGAGTAATGGATGACTGGACGAATAAATAAATACTTTTTTGAAGGAAAGTTGAAGTGCACGTGCTGGCTTGTCCCCTTCATGCCCTGTGCTTCCATTCTTTTTAAAATGGCCCCCGTGATTAATGCACCACTCTGAGCTTGAATGTCCTTGGGTGAGAGAGAGGGAGATGACTTCAATCATAGTAAAGTGATGATTGTGGGTTTTTTAACCATTAAATAAACTAAAAAAACTAAAAAAAGACTTAAATAAATCAATTATTGTGTTTTCTGAGAAGGTGAAGCTGAGGATGTGTGAGCATGTCTGTGTTGATCTCCTGTGACTTCATGGCCTTCAGCCTTTTACGGGCCGCTTGTCCCTGAAGAGAGCATAAAGTCCAGAATGAGGAAACACTGCACGACCCCAAGCACAAGAATGAGGATTTTCCTTCTCCTCCGAAGCAGATTCTGTGCACTTAATGTTAGAAAGAGATGTGGAGGTAATTTGCAATTAATGATGCATGGGACTCTGAGGTCAGTGCAGCATTATAGCATGTGTAATCTGTCTAAATCTACAAATAAACCAATGCATTATATTATATTACAATATTGGGCCTTAGATGTCCCTGTCCTCTGATGTCCGTATGGCTCTGCTATAGCGTAAGACAAATTTAATGCTAAATCAATAAGCAAGGCAATATTTGATTTCTAAAATGATTTGTATTAATTTGATTCAGAAACTTTTTTGTGTTTGTGTTATTTGCGTTAATCGAATAATATCCAAACTACTGATTATTTTCCAAAATATCCTTCTGGGAATGTTTTGTAAAAGCACCAATGGTCAACCCTGCAATATCAATATCATGGTATTAGGTTCAAAATATTATTATATTTTATTTCCTCCATTGCCTCCCGAGCCCTAATTCGTATTCACCTTTGATTTGATAGTATCTCTAAAGCCCACAAATTACAATGTCCACCCTGCTTGTCTCATCTTTAACAGGTTGCTGTTGGCAGCTTCATGTTTACTTCACAGACACGCAACATACGAGTGGCACGGATCTTCTCGTCTCAAATATGCAAATATGCTTATGAACAAAAAACGATTCCTTTAATACAGATACATACAACCATTCCGTCAAAGTCATGTCTGATTCTTTTTAAATCCCCAATGCCATCACTTAGTTAATCCCTCTGAGTTCCCTCCCCCCATGTGTTGGGGTGGGGGCACTGCTGAGGTCTGGTCTGAGGATGCGTGTGTAAGTGCCCAGATTGTTGGGCCGATGGTGAGTCTGGGCCTGGATTACAGGGCTGTGGCATGGAAACAGGGGGCTGGATAGGAGCCTTCTGCCACACTCAGCCCCGCCTCTTTATGCACAATAAGAGCCACGTAAACTATATGCATATATACACATACAAATTCACTGACAGTCGCACACTCGCCTCACACACACACACACACACTCACACAAGCAAGCATTTGAGGCCTTTAGGGGACATCTTCAGGGATAATGGGTGACAATACACTAATCAGACAGAATTAACACAATCTGTGCTGTCATCTCATGTCCTGGTGAGCTGTTGCCGGCTTCCAATCTGATCAAATTACCTTTAAAACCGCAGAAGAGCGTCGACAGCGGAACGCAGGCCGTTTCAATTGTTCTTTTTAATTAATCCTTCAACGTGATGAAACTCTCAGACACCATTTTTTTTTTTTATCTGCGAGTGTCGCTCTTCAAGAACGACGACATCTCTGGGTCTGTCTTTCATCATCACCAAAAGCCTCTCAAATGATGTCACATGTCATGTGACATCAGGAAAAATATAATAAAAATATAAAAATATAAATAACTAATGGCAGCATAAATCAACTAACAACCCAACAATAGACCTTAGTGTAATCGCCATATTGGATCCCAGCTGTTGAATGTGCAAATGAACTGCTGTTCTTACAAACTGCAGAATTAGTCTCCGTTCTTTGGGCACAACATGTAATTAATAGAGTTTTAGTATTAGCTACAGACGCTGACCTTCAAGATATACGCTATTTCTGTAAAGGATGCGAAGCAAACTGGCAATTTGAAGAGTTGGAGAACTGGAGAACAAGGACTCGGGCAAGTGTGTGCTTGTGTGCGAGTCAACTGGGGTCCTGGTTTCCTGCTGGTTCCCAGTGGTCCTGTGACTTACGAAACAACCTTCCTGAGGCGCCTACGCTCACAGCCCCACAGAGTTAGCGGAAGGCCGCAGGGACACACTAGTCTTTGACCACCAAGATCCCCATGGTGACTTGTGGCCTCCACCCTGAAGGCCTCCAATGTGAGTGAGAGACCCAAAACAGTGTTGGTTGAGCCTGTGAAGTAACCTTGAATTTGAATATCTTCTCCTGAATAAGGCCTAGAAATCTGGAAAGCGGTGAGTTAATTCAGCCTCGTGTGCGTTTAGAGGTCGTGTCGTGACGTGTCGCCGCCTGAGAGCAGCGGATTTCCGGAGAGGCGCACTTAACGATTGCATAACATGGTGCGCGTCGGAGTTCCCCCCTGCGGTTGGCTGACAGAAACACCGATTTACACCGGCCATTGGTTCGGGGGCGACAACCTGCGCATCAGTGCGCGCGGCGACCACGAGCTGCAGCTCTGGTGCTTTTTTTATTCCCTGTGCGGAATGTCATCTGAAGGGTACCGGGAGGCGGTGGCATCCCCGACAACACATGGTCGTGCCACCTGCCCCCCAGAAAACGTCACTCCCACGCACTCCAAAAAAAAATCATCCTGCGTGTGTTACGCATGAAATAACCTCGGCGCGCGCAAAACACGAGCAGCCTAATGAATAATTCTACTGGTGCAACGCTGCACCATCTTTTCGGTAGATTTCAGCACCAGGAAAGCGACGAGTAACATTAAGGTTTTTTTTTTTTTTAGGGATAAAACTGATGGAGGAGGACGGCGACAGCACCCGGAGACAAATGCGCGAGGTGTTAAATCCTTGAAATAAAAACTCAACCCCGCGAGACGATGCGAGGAGACGTGATGCTCGGGTCGTCGCGTGCCTCTTACCTGAGTGGCCTTGTGGAATTGCTTCTTCAGCCCCGCCACAGACATGGTTGCTGCACGGTGGTTCCCGCTGGAAGTAATTATTAGACTGGATGCTGCGAGTTCGTGAGGGAGGAAAAATCGCGGCCCCCTAAAAAATGTTTTGTATGTGGTGATGATCTCGCAGCCGTGGCTAACCCCCGTCTACGCCGGTCTTCAGCGGAGAGGATCTCCTGTGGGGAGGGGGGCTGACTAAAACCCCCCCGCGGTCAGGCTATTGGACGTCAGACCCACATGTCTAGCACGGCGGTGACGTCAGAGCCAACGTCTCTTAAAGCGGCAGCGGCGCGAGGCTGAGCTCGTTTCTGTTCTCAGCTGCTTCAGGAGACGGACGAGGACACACTTCGGGGGAGGGCGAGCCAGCATTGACCCCAGCGGGTGGAGTCGAACCCGAGTCGTCGGTGTGTGAAGGGAGAGTGCTAAGGAAGGAAATGACGTGGAGAGAGTTCCAGGGGTCTGCTTTCTTTGAGAAAGAAAAACAGAGATGCCAGGCTGAAAGAAGAGAAATAATAGGGGGAGTTCCATCTAGCATTTTAAGTCCAATTATTTGTAATATATATGTTGTAATTAGTTTATACATTGGTTTTGTGCATTGGTGGCTTTACATTGTAATTATTGTATCTATTGATTCTGTTCATGTTTTACTGTACATTAAAATAATATATTTGTATTTATTCGTTATTTATTTGTTTTTATGGTTTGATATTCATGTTAGTTCAATTATTTAGATGTCTTTATTTTTGTAACATTTTTGTTTGTATAGGATTGTACAAATCTGTTGAGCTATCTGTGTTCAACATTTACTGTCAAAGTTAATAAATATATTTAAATTACTAATGTCTACATGTTTCATCAATAAGTGAATCCCTGCAGTGAACAGTAAAACAAGTTGGTCTGTAAGTACAATCTAGTGACAACCAGTAGACAGCAGATTGGGGTAAATATCTTCTTTATTTGTTAATAGCTGAAAACGGCATAATGACATCGGCTTTTCAGCACCCTGGACAGTGGTAACAGTGCTGCAATTTGATTGGCTGTCAGTGAGTGCCAGCTATCCACGATTTGCCTCCGCGTGGGAGACGAGATTGCGAACCACTACACCACTCAAAAGTCTATGGTTAGAATCTCTTATGACTCAATTTCAGGAAATATTCAGATTTCTTTTCAAACGTACGTTTTTTCACAACCACGCCCCCTCATTTGACTATAGTAAGGATTTCATGACTTTTTCGCAAAATATTTTAGGATTTTTTTTTAAAAATACTTATTTTTGGAACATGGAATCTGTTTTATATGTTCTTTCACATGGTGGAGTTTATTGTTTTGAAATGTTTGTTTTTGGAACATGGAATCTTTTAAAAATGTTCTGTACGTTTTTTCACCACCACGCCCCCTCATATGACTATAGTAAGAATTTCATGACTTTTTTGCGAAATATTTTTCAAATGTTTGTTCGCTCTGAGAAGGTCAAGGGCCCATGAGTGGTTCCATTTCATCAAAAGGAATAATGAAATGAAATATAATCTTATTTAATTTACAGTTTCGTTTTAGACAATCATTTGTATAGCCTAGTTACTCCACATGTTTCCTTTTCTGATGAAGCTTTCTTTTGTGTTGCAAAATAGTTATTTCAGATACTCTTGGATAATCTGGGAAATGATGAACGCAGGGATATGTTTCTTACATGAAAAGTGGACACATAATTCTTAAACACGTCACAATTTACAGTATACAATGTTATGAAAAGCTTTTTATTAAACGTTTCAACAGTACACAAAGTACAGTCATATTACCACTATCGTAAACATCTAAGAAAGTAAAATGCAACATCCAGGATCAGGGATGTTCATCACGGAACCTCACATAGTAAAACACGGTGGGGTTATTTTATTACAGCCTGGGTACTTGTACATTGGATACTTCTACATTCAACTTATAATACCTACATGCTTCAGCAAGGCTTCTGAGTGCAGTGCTTTTACTTGTGTCTTAGTAGTTTTGCTTCAGTAAATGATCAGAAACCTTTTTTCCCTTAGACATCAGGATGAAATGAAGAGTAAAACCTTACCAGCATTGAGAGATTTATAGTAATGTGCTTTACTGTACGTTTTGTTGTCTTCAAATCAGATGAAGGGGCTTCAAACCTGGCAGCGGACAGCGGGCACCACGTCTCCAGCACCGTGGACAGCGCCCACCAGCAGCGCCCAGATGTTCTATTCCAGCAGCAAGGGAATTGAACATCTGCAATAATGCACTCAAACAATGTGCATACATGCTTGTTTACACGCGTACTGGTACCTCAACTGTTAAACACTGAAGTTAATTTTTGACCCACGGAAAATAATCTGTTTCTAATCTTACCGCAAGCTCCATTAGTTTGTGTTAGAAGCGTCGGATCGCGGAAACTGGATTCATTTCAACCCAAACGGAATTAGAGCGTGTCAACATTCATTTAGATGAATACTGCGCGCGGACTTTTAAGTGCCCTGTAATGTAGAGCTAGAAACCCTGCATAGTGCCCACAGTTTAATGAACACATTGTCAACATGCAACGAATCACGTCCACCCAAACTTCCCGTCATCACGATTTCATTTGGATAACGGGAATAGAATTCGTGTCCGCGACCCTGACGCCAATAATGGCTCGAAATGAAAGTGAAGAAGTAACCTGCACACATCGATGAACATATAGAAAAACACACCCGTCGGACCAGAATTTGATTTAACATTAACACTTAATTACATGCAGACATCTTCTTTGTATCGCTAACAATTTATTGGTCGTCCCACAACTCCATCATTAATCTGTAGATTGAAATCTGTAACTTACTTTTCTTTCGTTCTCAAACAGTGTCTAATTATTAACAATGGATTACATAAGGAGGCGGTGCTGTTTCATTTCTTATGCTAGTGGCGCCATCCTGTGGAAGAAGAAAGGAATTATTGATCATCCATCTCCCTGTCCGTTGGTGCTACTAAGACACCAAACACAACTTGTGCTTTCAATGAAATATCAATTAGGTAAGTTGTAAAAATGGGTTAAAAAGGCGATCCGTTCATTTATAAATCACTGATGCATACATGCAAGATAACATAACACGACCTCCAGATGTCTGATCGCCTCCGTAACCCTTTTTTACAACTTACCGTATTCATAAAAATATGCAACTTCAAGGTAAACACATAATGAGTGTGATGTCAAAATTAAAGTAATGTACAACTCTATATGTTAGAAGATATTACAAGTCCTGCTCTGCACACTATGCAGCACTGCCCGCTTCCCAGCAAGTCAGAATCCTTCGATGCTTTGCTTCCATCTTGTGGTAGAAAATGATGCAGCAATCCTTCACACATCGGACACAACGCAGGAGCACCCTGAACACCTGTTGGGTCTGAGGAGCGTCAAACCGGCTGACAGTCAACTGAGTCGAGATCTTCTCTCAGTTTTCCTGCTCGGTGGTCCGTTTGAGCGTGTGTGGGACATTTGTCTAAACTCATGGGGCAATAAATCTCACCTGCACCGAACAGCCAGACGGAGGCTGAAGAAGAAAGAAATACGGGATTGTCGCCATTGACTTAATTTCACTGATCAGTGGTGTTTTGTCATCATCTCTGATTGGAATTTGGAAGAGTGTGGCGTTTTTGATTAAAACACTACTAAAACATTTATGAGTATGTTTTTGCATGGATTTTGGCTGAAGTTTGTCAAAATGTTTTCCGCACTTCCCATTCCCATTTCCCATCCCAAAGAAATTATAACAATATTTTTTTTAAAATCACGCAACAACTTACTCAGATGGAAACAAGCCCCAGTGATACTTGGACTCGGTCACTTCAGACGGCAACTTTCTCCCAAACTAATGAACCAGATATTTTCTGTCCTCAGACGCAAAGCTGAGGTCAATCGTCCAATGAGGTCACCAGAACTCAAAAGAGCAGACGCAGTGCTGAAGTAGACAAACCGCACACTCCTAAACATTGTGTTCTTTAAATCACAGACTGGTGTGTAGACTGGACGGGCCAACTCCTCCTCCCCCTTTTATCCCTGTGATGGTAACAAGCTAAGTCTCCTTTGTCTTCACTGTGATGGAATCGGCAAAGGCCCAGATCATCCCTTCTAGCACTCTGGTACATAAAATCTAACGGGCAGGCTGAGCGGAGTGACAACCTCGACTACTGGGGACCAAACATCACACCACTTGTTTTAAAATCAGGTGCACTATTAGTATCATGACTTAATAACATCATCTTAATATTTCCTGGTTTGGGGTCGTCGGACCTCCTCCTTAACTACATGCGTGTGTCGGTGCAGATGGAAAAGTCAAGAGGACACCCCCGCCCCTTCTTTGTGTCATTTGTCACACACATATTTGTCACACACATATGCCGGGCGCGTGCGTCACACTCATGCCTTTGCGTGTTTCGTAATGCCTACCTCGATCCCCAGGCCGATCCATTCCACTCAAACATGCTAATGTACCTGTGCTCTGCTTTAATTGGTCCCAGTGATGCTCGCCCTGCTCCACCTGTATTCACGGGAAGCCTCCAGTCAGTCCTGCAGTCAGGCCCCCGCCACCGTGCAGTGCTAATATTATGCAAACAAACACTTCTTTGTTGTTTGGCACTCTTTCCGCCGACCCGCCACTGTGGAAGACAGGGAGAAAGTGAGTAAAGGGAAAAGGAGAGAAAGGAATGAGGGGTGGGTGAATGGGGTCGGATGGGGGTAGTGGGGGGGGTGCATGAATTCATTAGTGCGATTACCTGAGGTGTGCTACTTTACAGGGGGTAATCTGCCAGCCCGCTTCATACCCTCCAAACTTCAGCCAGTCCGCTAATGAGCGCTCGGAAAAGTTAGTCAAGGTGCAGAGGTGCTTTGAGGAGCGATACGCCGCAGACTACAGTGTTATTATATATATGCTGGAGCAGAAAACAAAGGATGTTCTCTATTTTCTAACAGCCACTGAAGACTGATACGATTTAGTTTGATTCTAAAAACACATAATGAAACGGTCAAGTTTTGTATATCTGACAGCGGGAAATCTCCGATTAAAAATATCAAGCGACACATCGTCACCAAGACAACATCCCAGATTAGTCACAAGGACACCGGAGGGTTCCGGTAGTCACTTTCAAAGAGTCGCTTCTCTCTGTGGTGAGGTAGCGGACAGTGA